GGAATCGGTAATACTTCAGGTTGTCATCCGAAATGTTAGATTCCATAATTGTGAAAATGTCTGCATCATAGGTTTGCAGGATTTTCTGTATTTGGATCTTTTTGTCCGGAGACATTCCTCCAGCATTCCACTGGAGGATCTGAAGACATTGTGATTCGCCCTGGCGAGGGCGATTTTTCTTATAGCCTTTTTCAAAGCTAATCATAATTAATCGAAGTCAAAAACGTATGCCGATTGATAGACTTTTTTGCCGTAAGAAAATGCGTTGTCCAGGGTGCACCACGTGGAGGTAAGTCTATCGCGCACCCCATTTTGCTTATTAATCTAATTTACGGTTTATACTGTTTGCGTAATTTACATTAATATGGTACATTTACCCTCCTTTTACAGCCCAAAAAAGGCAAGGTCGTAGAGGTGGCCGTGGTAGACCTGCAGCTAGAGCTCAAGAGGAACCAATGGAGGAACAAAACGTTCAACAGGAAGAACCAGATGAAGTTGATGATGTGAGTACAATGTCTTTTTTTCATGATTGTGATTGGCAACTTTTCAGGGGTTTATATTTCACTGCATTTCAAAAGCGTAGTCCTTATTGTATAGGTGTAAGAATGAAGATTACAAGTTTTTAAGAGTTCGACTGTTAATCTAAAGTAACATGGCAACTTGAGCATAATTGACTTCCACCTGTTAAGTGCCTATGTCTAATCAGCTGCAAATGTCGCAATGTAATACCATATGATCTTAATAAGACGTTCCCTCTTGGGTCTTTAATGGCATTGTATGTCGCTCTCAATACATTGTAAAATAAACCAGAGTTGACTGTTGACTCAACTATACCATGCAATAACGTGAGGATGCGAGAGAAGTCTTACTTTCGGTTGCCTGTTTGAATTTGTCAGCAGACATGACTGATGTATTTTCTTGCTATCTTTTACAGTTCGGTCTGAGAAGAGAAGGGCGAAAGGCTCTCCTACAGTTCTTTAACGAAGCTCCTCTAGAGGAACTGAACCAAATGACTGGTTGTTCACAAAAGACCGCTGAAGTTATTATCAATCTTCGGCCATTTAATACTGTAGTAGATCTTAAACTCCGTTTGGACGCCACGCGCTACCTCTCCACATCCCTCATTGATGCTTGCAAGGAACTCATGCAAACTCGGGCCATGTTTGATAACATCCTCAAGAGTTGTGAAGCTATTAGTCAGCGTGTCCAATCGAGAATTGCTTCTCTGCTAGCCGACGATTCTGTTGACTTACCTAAAGATGGAGGCGATCTCTCAAGGAACAAGAAAATGGGCTTCCTCCGTGAGCAACCTGTTATCCTACACCCCTTGTAGGTTCTAAGCTTGTTAATTTTCACATTTATTTCACAGCACACAATTAGACTGTCAGGGAATAAATAGGAGCTAGAAAATTGAAATATCGTAATTCGTTTGAGCCTAGCCTTCGTTATGCGTACCAGTTAACACTTTCAATTTAATCCTTGGTAGCAATTATCCGTTTGTCTAGAGTTCGTTTACGTTTGTATTGTTTTAATATCCGCCATTTGGAGAGATTGGAAGTTTTACCTTTGGGAAATCACTATTGTTAATTAGTTTTATGACTGTTTGAACTTGTTTTGTACTGTATTCACCTTTACTTTTTAAACTCGATTTGTGTTATCCTCGCTTTTAGTAGGCTTTCAGAAGGGTTTAGTCGAGAATTAAGTTGTTTCTTCTTGGCTTCTCACTGTGTTTTGAAGGATGTTCCTTCTTTAGGTTCGCTTGTGTCTTAATCAAGAGTTGATCTGGCCACTTCTTATCTCCTTCGAAATATCCAATTGTTCAAATTTCGTGAATTGACCCTCAGATGGTGTTGAAAGATATATTTAGTTCTGTGAGTGATCATGTCTTGTTTTATTTGTGCCTGGTTACTGCCGAGAGCAGGTCAATGAAACTGGAAATATCGTTTTATCATGGAGCTCACTTTGTTTCCTTCCTACTTATTACTTTAGATGCAATTTCAGTCTAGCCTTAATGAAGATTTGAAAACGATTTTGCATATCTTTCGGATTGAAAACGTCGATTGTATAAGAACTTTTAAAATGACATTACTTTGTAAGCATTTGTTTCTGCATGTAAAGGCTATTGAAATAACGCCACAGCATAATTTCAAATTTTCCCTTGTAGGCGTCAGCTAAAGCCCTATCAGCTGGTTGGCCTCAACTGGCTGCGAATTCTTCACGATGAGAAAGTGAACGGCATTTTAGCAGATGAAATGGGCTTGGGAAAGACTGTTCAAGCTATCGCATTGCTTGCTTACCTCTATGAACAAGGTGAACGGGGACCACATCTTATCATCTGCCCAAGTTCAACTGTTGACAACTGGCAGAGGGAATTGAATAATTGGTGCACAAACTTTAGTGTTCTTGTCTACCAGGGTTCAACTGAAACTCGTAAAGCTATGCGACTGAAGATTTATGAGAGCCAACAAAATAACTCACGTCCGGATTTCAACATCCTCCTCACCAGCTATTCGACGGCTACTAGCACTCTGGAAGATCGTGCTTTGATGAAGCGTGTCGAATTCCAATATGGTATCTTTGACGAAGCTCACATGTTGAAAAACATGACCTCTCAGCGCTACAAAACCCTTTCAAGTTTCCAAACCCAAAGGAGAATTCTTCTAACTGGCACTCCTCTTCAGAATAATTTGATTGAACTCATATCTCTTCTTGCTTTCGTTATGCCTGATCTCTTTACTGGAGGAAATGTGGATCATCTTAAGAGAATATTCCAACTCATGAGTAAATCTGCAACTAATACTTCAGGCACTAATCATCAAGGAGATAAGACTTCAAAAGGTGAAAATGAGGGACAAGAAGAAGGTAAGACTGGCTCTTCCTCTCTTCTAGGGAATCGAAGCCAGTTTGAACACGAGAGAGTTAAGCAGGCTAAACAGCTTCTCAAACCATTCTGTTTGAGAAGACTCAAGTCACAAGTCCTTCAGCAACTCCCTCCAAAAATTGAGGAGACTATTCGAGTACCTATGACGGAAAGTCAGTGGCAAGCCTATGTGAATCTTATCAACAAATTCAGAAATGCTCAAGGTGCCAGTGCTGCTGATATGGCTTGTGATGTTGGGGAAGAGGAGGAAGGTGGGCGACAGAGTATTCTACTCTCAAAGTCCGGCGCCGCTGGTATTGCTAATGGCTCCTCGAAAAGGCCGAAAATGTCTCTTATTGATACGAGTATGTTCTGCTCTCATTGTGTCATACGTCCAAGTATATTTAAGTTTGGCCTACTTGTTGATGTGAGTGCGAATCACATGGGTGTGTAATGGTCTCCGGCTTTAGTCATTAATCTTTTGTTTAGTTGGACAACTTTGTTTCCCTTTATGCAAGTCCGTTTTTGTCTTCATCGTCGTCAAAGTAGATGTTAGTTTTATAATTATGATAAACCGGTCCAATAAGGAATGGAGTAACAGGGTAATAAAATAATTTACCTCAAGGGTCTTCTCTCATTTGATTCATTTCTCACTTAAGGTTCCCAATTTATGCTATTGAAGGGTACGTTAGTCTAGTTATAGGGTACAATATCGATGCTCATTATACATCTGGTGGTGTGCATGTTCAAACATGTTGACTAATTCCGATCAATAAAGGTAATGGCATAGAATGCGACTTTTCAATGGGTCACTTTCTTCCTACTTAAGTCCAGTATTTCCCTTAATAAACATTTCTTCCACTATTCCTAGAGTTCTAGTATTTACCATTGAGGACAATCTACTTGCTTCCTTGTATACCTATGTGGTATTATCCATGCTTAAATTTTCAGTATTTGTGGAATAAAAGCTCAAAACTTCAATTTACACGATGTGCTTTCCTTTTGACACACGGTGACTTCAGCATTGCTGACAGCTTTATATCGTCGAGTATGTTTTCTTTATATGTCTAAATTGTTATAATTAACATACAACAGACCAATATATGTGATTCTGTGATTTAAATAATTTCTTACCTCTTCTAGCCTTTATTTGGTTAGAAATGGTACTCTTGCTTATAAAAAGTGTAGAACTAATTTAATTTAATGTCACATTCGTTTATCTTTTATGTGTGAGTCGTTCTGTTCATGTTCTTGGGCTTTCTTAGCCGAAGTTAATGTATACTCCTAGCAATTTCTCATGCTTTCATTGTAGCCACCGGTGGTCTCGATCGCTCTGTAGGTGTCGAACGTCTCTCTCCTTTCAATATGCTAATGCAATTAAGGAAGGCAGCTAATCATCAACTCCTACTATCTGCCATCGCTTACTCCGACGATACAATAAAAGAAATCTCCGTCATGCTTAAACAAGATAAATCTCACGCGGATGCTGATCCTTCCATCCTACTGGAAGATCTTTGCCTTCTTTCCGATCATCAGGTCCACAAGCTATCCCAGCTTTATGATGTAAGTGCATAGATCTCTCCCCCCATCCAACGAAGATAAAAAGCGTTTCTACACAATTACTAATTTCGTCAAGAGTACGATATGGGGATGTTTGTTACTTTAAATATTGTGCATCTATGAAGAGGAAGAGTTGAATTTTTTTACCTTAGTCCCAAGACCAACTATTTTTACTCACAGTACCTCTCTGTTCATGATCGGAGCATTTCGAATGAATCTATAAGTTGAAACTCAGCTGTTAAGCGTCTGTCCATTAAGAGGATGGTTAGTAAATGACGATTTAACTGTTTTATTTTACCTCTAGGTCTTGAATCCTTTTGCTCTTCCACCAGAGACTTTGGTGAATGGTTCAGGCAAAGTGAAGTGGTTGGATGACAATCTGCCCAAGATTTTGGCTGATGGTCATCGTGTCCTTATTTTCAGTCAATTTGTTTTGGTTCTTGATATTCTCGGCGAGTATATGGTTAACAAGGGCAACAAATTCCTCAGAATGGACGGATCCACTGATGTGAAAGATCGACAAACTCTCATTGATACATTCAATAAGTAAGTCAGTGAAAATCAAATGAAGTTAAATTTTCATTCTTCTAATTGTTCTTCTCCTCTCATCATCTTTTTGCTCCTCATGTTTACTTTGCCATGGGTATTAATTGATTTCTCTTTCTATAGTGATACAACGTATGAATTATTCCTCTTATCGACTAAGGCTGGTGGGTTGGGCATCAGTTTAACTGGTGCTGATGTGGTGATTATCCATGATGTGGACTTTAATCCCTACAATGACCGCCAAGCCGCTGACAGGTGCCATCGCGTTGGTCAAATGAAGTGAGTTCATCTTGATATTTTTATTTGCTTTTAGTGGCTGTATTTTGCTTGTTTTAATTTTGTCTACATCAGTATTCATTCAGTGGTTAAAACGGGCCAATAATTAGAGACGATGGGTTTTCCCTTCATGTCAATTTTAAATTTCGAATTTCCTGGGGTTTATCGCCATCATTATTATTTATAGTTTTTCATTAAGGCGGTGTAAGGTAACCCATTCAAGTCAGAGTACAGAGTGCCTTGGACCGTCGTATTAGGTAAATAAAGAGGAATTGGGAAAGGCTTGGGATCACTTGAAGCCGACCATTGAGTTTGGATGTTTTTCAATATACCGCATTTATCACATGTTTCAGCAATCTCTTAATTATTTGCTTAGGCCTGTGAAGGTTATCCGTCTAATCTCAGAGAACAGTGTGGAAGAAAGTATCTGGCAGAACGCCGAAGAGAAGCTCCGTTTAGAGGAAGACGTGACTGGTTTCGACAAGAGCGGAGCTCCAATTGGCGGCATGACACCTCAACTGGGTGAGAAACGTCACAATGGAGAAAATGATGGGGATGCTACTGGCGAGGACGATGATAAAATCGATGACGCCGAATTTGATGGCATCACTAACAACGACCCTGATCTGCGTCAACAAGCTGGTAGCCAGAGTAAAAGACTTTTGAACCAGGGTGAAATCTTCAAATACCTCTCGGATGCTCTTAGTTCGAGTGTGATTACACCTAGCAGCAGTAATATAAAGTCGCCTAGAACGACAACTTAATGAATGTCCCGCCCTACGCCCCCTTCTCCTCTTACTCCACTGTTTGATTTTTCATACCCACTTTATGTTAATTGTGTTAAATAGGATTGATTACACGACACCCCTCACACTTCCCATTGTTATTGTAAATTTTCTTGTGTATTATTAATAAAATGGGTTTTTAAAAATCTGAAAATGAAAGTTATCTTAGAATTATCGACGTATTTATTAACTGGTGTTTACTTTAAAGGCCGTGTACGATTAATGATCTCTGAGTCAAATGATTTTTTCTGCTTGG